AGTTGGGTGATGTGTCTTCTCACATTTGGGGCAAAGATGCTGTTGTAAAACTTTATTTTGGGTTCCAGAAGAAGATGAGGTCATTTAAATGCTGCCAAGAAAGCTCCCTTTAATGTGCCAACCTGTTTGGTAAACAAACCCCCTTGTTTGCCTCCATGAAGAGGTGCACGTGTATGCTCACACAGTCCTTGGCGCTTAATAGAATAGGTAGGCTTCTGGTGGCATTCATGCAGGAGTCCATAGCGTCCAATATTGTGGTTTGGCTTTTTCTCACCAAACTGACAAAGTCTCGCTGCCCTTTAAGCCCATGTGAAGGGAATCGCAGCCTGAGCCATCTGTCTAGACAGGATCTGTTTCAGAACTCAATTGTGTCTACAGCTGGATCAGTGTTCACACGCTGAACATTGGCAAACACGCAGGTCTCGCATCTGAGTGAGCCTCTTAATGTCAGTCTCAATAACTTCTGGAGAACTGTAAGATTTGTGGATAAACATCTTAGAACTGTTAATTTCATGGCATTTATGCATATTGTTATGTGTGAGGCACTGTTCGAGTTGTTAGAACCCATTGGTAAATGAGAGACAAGGTTCCCGTGGCATTTATCACATGGAAGGAGCCACAAGCAATAAATAAGCAAATAAACAAATGAGAAAGTTAGATGGTGACACATTCTATAAATGAAACAAAACAGGGTGAAGCGAAAGGTGGTGGCTGGGCAGTGTCATGGGTGGGGGGCTCACTGATACTGGATATTAGCAAAGACCTCATTAAAGAGGCAGTGTTAAGCTGAAGAGTGTCAAGAAAGGGTAGCCCAGGAAATCTGGGAGCAGGATGTTCCCAGTGAGCAGCCAGCACATGCAGCTGCCCTAAGGCAAGGGTGATAATGTTCCAGGAGCAGAGGAACTGAAGCACAGTGAGTGATGCAGAGAGCACTAGGAGGTGGCTCGGGAGATGTGGGCAGGGCTAGATTACAAAGAGCGGTGTATGCCATCACCAGGAGCTAGCCTCATTCTAAGGGAGCTGTTGAAAGGTTTAAGCTGAGTGCATCATGACTTTTTTTTTTTTAAAGTTCACCCTAGTTGTGTAATGGAGAGTATGGGTTGTAGGGGTGAGGAATTAAAAAAGAAGGACCATGCCGAAACCGGTTTGGCTCAGTGGATAGAGCGTTGGCTTGCGGACTGAAGGGTCCCAGGTTCGGTTCCGGTCAAGGGCATGTACATGGGTTGCAGGCACATCCCCAGTGGGGAGTGTGCAGGAGGCAGCTGATCGATGTTTCTCTCTCATCGATGTTTCTGGCTCTCTGTCTCTCTCCCTTCCTCTCTGTAAAAAATCAATAAAATGTATTTAAAGAAAAAAAAAGAAGGACCAGATTGGAGACTATTGTGATAACCCAAGGTAAAGATGCTCTGGCTTTGACAGGATGGTGGCAGGGAAGAGGGGCAGAAGGAGATGGATGTGGGTTTATTTTGCTAGTAGAGCTTACAGATCTTGCTCGTGGTTTGGGTTAGGGAGTAGAAGTAGGAATCAAAGATAACTCGTGAGCTTTTGGGTTGTATATCCTGTTTATCTTGAGGAGATGATAGTATTTTTCCCATTGAGATAGGTAAGTCAGGAGTGGGGGGAGGAGAATCCTGTTTTGACCATACTGAAGTGTGTATAAGATACCCAAGAGGAACTGTAAGGAGGCAGTAATAATATTAATAATACTTAATATTATCATATTTAAGTTGGCCAGTTGGTTGTGGCCAGTACCAGCTTTTGCCAAATAAACTTCAAACACTGATTTTATTTTTAACTGAGCACTGCTTTCAGCTATAGGCAGATAAATTTAATGCCATACTGACAGTTGTACAATTGAGACTGATAACATCTGCCTCTTCCTGTCTCTGCTTTCCTTTGTGTGCCTCTGAACTCCTGATTAGATGACCAAGAAATTCCAAGGCAAGGAAACTTGCATTGCTTTCTGTGACCTCTCTCCTTAGAGTTCCTACTTTCAATTATTGAAAAACAAAATAGCCCTCGCCAGTTTTTGCTCAGTGGATAGAGTGTCAGTCTGTGGACTGAAGGGTCGTGGGTTCGATTCTGGTCAAGGCTACGTGCTCGGGTTGCAGGCTCGATGCCCAGTGGAGGGCCTGCAGGAGGTAGCCGATCAATGATTCGCTCTCCATCATTGATGCTTCTATCTCTCTCTCCCTTTCCTTTCCTCTCTGACATCAATAAAAATATTTTTTTAATATTTTAAAATAATTTAAAATAAAATAAACAAAATATGTTATTGGATAAAAGGGTGAGGGGTGGTGGACTGGTATAGCTGAAGACTATATTACAGACTGGTCTTTTCTGCCCTCTGAAGCCATTTTTATTAGACATGTATTTTATTTTGCTTTTAACTCGTGTGGGGCAGGGGCAGGAGTATGGAGTGAGGGTGTGAAGTGAGTGTGTGAGTGCTTTTGACAAAAAGTGTGTTTAACTTTCTGTCAAGGATACATGAGGCTATTCTTTCTCAGTTATCATAGTTTTGCATGTTTCTTATCACAAGTCCTATTTCTGAAAGGATTTAAAAATCTAGTATTGTCACACCACCTATGAGGCACACCTAGCGTGTTCTTAGACACGTTAACAAAAGAACAGTAGGGCAGGGGAAATGGTGGTGTAACTAGTAGTGGGGGTGGATAGGCTCTTACTAATTTGGGCTAAAACCAAATGAGTTTCCAAATTTCTAGACTCTCATAGGGGTCCCCGTGGCTCTTGGGAAAGAGTTCCATGGCTTTTCCCACTGGGAGAGGGCGGAGCACTGTCCCACATCTTTAAGACTCCAGAAGCCATTGGCATATCTTCCAAGGAAAAAGCAAGTCAGGTCACTGTCTGCTCTAGCTTCTCAACTGCGTCATGCGGCCCAGGGAGGTAGCCACAGGCTGACCCATGTGCTGGTGTGGGATGCCCAGCGAGCCAGGACAACAGAGAACCAGTGTGTCCCTGAATTTGTTCCCTCTGAGGCCATCCATCTGATAGGCCACAGGCTCTCATGGCCTGAAAGCGTTGAAAGTTGCCATCCTTCGGGTAGCACTGATTCTCAAGGATGTTTCTTGAATCATTGGAGCTAAGTGAGACGTTGAGGGCCAGGGAGGCTGTTTCTGAATGAGGAAGAGAGAAAGGTGTTCCAGAGGTCAGAGGCAACAAACCAAAAACTGTGGAATCCTAAGTGAGCTGATGGGATATAGAGATTGTTGACAAGTTCATGAACTGCTGTGGTAAGCCAGTGACTTCTGAAGTTACATTTGGCCAGACAGGCTTCGTGTGTCTGTGGTGAGCCGATGAAGGAGACAGTTGGCACCCACTGCATGTTGCTGGGGTAATGGAGCCCCACTGAGCAGCACTAGAAAAAGTTAGGATCCAACAGGTCTCTGTCTGGTAATAATTTCCCCAGACATTCCTATTGCTGCACATCAGTGACCGTTCAGCATCTGTTTTTTTACTATTGCATAAAGTTTCATTTTAGTTTCTGACAGTATGTATTTCAGATTTTCTAAATGCTTCACATTCCTTCTCTTTTGCCAGCAGCTTGAATGGGCAGATTGCCTATTTCTAGGGGGATGATGGCTTTGTCCATAGGGGACCTTAATGGTTCCATTGGACCTTCATGATGGATGAAGAAAGCAGATGAAGAATGCATTGGGACCCATACCCATGTGTCTAGAGCTAAAAAGAACTGTAGGTGTGAGCCCAAATAAGACTCAGAATAAACCACTGGGGCAGGTTTTGCTTTCTTTTTTCGGAATAGCTAAGTAGCTGAGGGAACTCAAACACTTTGCAGTGGGAATATGTTTGTGTCCTTGGAGTGAAATGAGACGTCCATGGGGAATGAATGAACTGAATCAGAAAGGCTAAGTGATTCTCAAGGATGTTTCTTGAATCAGTGGAGCTACTAGTAAGTGAGACGTTGAGGGCCAGGGAGGCTGTTTCTGAATGGGGAAGAGAGAAAGGTGTTCCAGAGGTAGTAGTCCAGAGGACTTAAAGACATTTATTCATTTTTTTAAGAGGATAAATTTTTGTGTTGAAGAAT